GAAATCATCATGATAAGAATGTAGATCACCAACGTAGATGATCTATGTTAAAATGATTGGAGGCCTACTCGAGTGAGACGTGAATGATGTGACAAACTAGCTAACGTCGAAGTCTCACCTCACGGTCAGCACCTTACGTGGATTACCCCATTGACGTATCAGGGTACTATAGATGCTTTGAAGACTGTACAACACAAAGGACGTCATTACAGGAATATATTAGGCAAAGTAGATACAAGCGAAGGTAAGACCACTACCGCATGGGCCAGTCCATGGTGTACGATTAACTGATGCGTGTGGGTTGTCTATGACTCTGACAAAGATCGATGATTTGTTCGATAATCAATGACACAACTGCAGGATGATTTGACTAGGGCTCAGCTAAATTTCACTGGCCCTACAAGATTATTCGACTGAAGGATATTATGTGAATGAACCGATTGAATTTTGCTGCACAGTTCTCCTCACATCATACATGATGTAAGCACGAGATGAAACCTCCGCTAGTCCACTAACAGAAGTTATCTATTCATGTTTATATTTACTACTGCTCATAACAGCGCGCCCTATTTAAAAGGACAGTGGTATTCTTTCTCGTTGAATTAATTAACTGTTTTGATTGTAAATTACGCATCAAAACTACTGTTTACACTTTGATTGCATCTACCCCAGTTAAAGTGATATTTTATTGAGTTTTTCGATTTCGCTTCTGTGTATTTATTGCATCGAAGCATACTTGGTCGACTTTTACTTGGTTTATTTAGTTAAGTTTTGAAAATCCTTTTACATATCCTGTTTTTGTCACCGTTCTGGTTGATTTTCAAGATGGCTAGGTCTACTCATAAATGTGGACAACCATACTGCTTATTTCCCGTGGATGAAAGGATGCAATGTGATGAGTGTAATAAGTGGTTCCATAAGATGTGCACCCGATTAAGCCCCACTGCATATAAAAGGTGCTCAAAGCCCAACTCTCATTGGCTTTGTAGTTTTTGTTGCTCGAGCAAAACATTGCTTATCCAGGAAGCAATTAGTCTCCTGGTGTTGGCTAATAAGAAGGTTGATGAGGGCTGTACTGATAACATTGGTACGGATGGCGAAGATTGCGTTAGTGTCGTAAGTGCTATCACGGCGCAAGCTAGACATCTACCTGTGCAACCCGCAGTTAAAGGTTCTCCCCCGAAACGATCATTGAGTGACACGTCATTAGACATTGGTGGCCATATTGCTACATCAGCAACCGGTGACCCAGATAAAACAATCACTGTTCCGAGTTGTTCTAATGTAGACGTTTCGACTGATGGAAAATGGATGACGCGAAAACGCAGAAGAGTAGGAAAGATAGCTAAAACTAATGACTGTTTACTTGGTAAGTCCTTGGTGGACTCTCAGACCAATCCGCCAAAGTCTCATAGTAAAGCTTCGTCTGACATTGTTGTTAGTCATTCGCTTGACTCCCAGGACTCTGTTAAAATAAAAACTAATCATAAGCTACCAGTAGTTAAAATACAGGATCTAACGTCACGGTCGAAAGCTGTGAACACGGTTTCAAAAGAAACTAAACCCATCCCTAGCTTAATTATTTGGAATCTAGAGGAGTCGAAAGACAACGACCCTGCTTAAAGACACGCACATGATCTGCAATTATTGGAGTCTGTGGTGAGGAATGTACTACCTGAAGAGGTTTCAGGGGTACATATTACAAAAGTAATACGACTTGGTAAATGGGTTGGAGGCGAGACCCAACCAAGAAGGATCCTGAAGCTGGTTCTCGGGAGTTTCGAAGAAAGAGACATATTATTGAAAAGCGCACTAAAAACTCGTGCCTCAAATATCCGTATTCGACCAGATTGGCCGCTTGAGGATCGAATCAAGTGGAAGAATGCTCTTACGGAGTTGAGGACTCGCAAATTAAATGGCGAAAATAACCTTACCATTAAGGGTTTTCGGGTAGTCAGGTCTTGGAAGCCAATGCTTCCGAGGCCTGTATGGGTAGAACGATTGATCTCCAAAACACCTTAAGTGTGTGCTACACGAACGCTCGTAGTCTTAGAAATAAAACGTCCAAGCTAAGTCTGATGGTGCAAGAATTATGTCCCGATATAATCGTTGTTACAGAAACTTGGTTCACCGTTGATATAGACTGTTCTCCTTTCATTGCTGGTTATATCTGTATCAGAAGTAATAGAGTTTCAAGTCGCAAGGGGGGAGGTATAATATTTTACGTTAGGGATCACTTTCGTATGCAATCAACCATATCGGAGGCTCATATCAGTGGCACATGTGAGGTTGCATGTTGTAAGATTAAATCTAGAAATGGGTTAGTGAATATAGGGGGAATATACCGTAGTCCGTCTTGTCTGGCTGACGACTTTATCCTAAGACACATCTGTTCTTGGAGTATGGCAGAATGTTGTCTCATCATTGGGGACTTCAACGCGCCACATATCAACTGGATAGAGCTTACAGCTCCAGGTAGTGGTTTTGATAGCGACCTTTTATCTACCGTTATTCAGTGTGCACTTGCACAATGTACCACAAAACCGACACATATTGATTTGCAACATGTTCCGTCACTGCTGGACCTCGCCCTTACCCACCACTCTGAGGATGTCTTTGATATCCAGCACATTCCTCCACTAGTGAACAGTGATCACGTTGTAATTCACTTTAAGTTTAGGACGCATGGTATACAATTCATATCTGCTCCACCCCGTCCCAATATTTGGTGAGCTAATATTCCGTAAATCAGAAACCGTGCTATCTTGACCGATTGGTCGGTCGACGCGGATGGATTGATCGAAGATGAATGGAATAAGTTAAAGGCTACATTCGAGTCCGAAACGTCGCCGTTTATCCCATGGTCAGCACGTAAGCTATCACATTGCCCTCCATGGATTAATAAGGAAACCCGGAAGCTGTTAAGGCGTAGGAAACATTTCCGGGACTTATTCTTGTTGACAGGTCATGCACCATTTAAGCGTGAGTATCGAAAATACCGTAATAGCTGTAAGAAAACCATAGCGAAATCCCGTACCACTTACGAACGACAGTTAGTATATGATAGCCGTACTTGTCCGAAACGATTGTTTTCGTATGTTAAACGGCAAATGAAACGTAGTGAGGGTATTCCCCCGTTGCTGTTACACGAAAATTCAGAATTACTAGATGAATCAGATCGAGCAAAAGCTGAGACTTTTTCAGATTATTTTAGCGAAGTCTTCTCTACGTTTATTGTAACAAATACTTGTCCCACTCACACCGAGATACCAACCACTGAATCTGTACAGGTGACTGAGGAAACTGTCCTTCCGTTGATAACTAACCTAAACCTGGTATGATACCGGGCCCTGACGGGTTACATCCACGGTTGCTATCATCTCTTGCGGACATTATTTCAAAACCGCTTGCGACACTCTTCAACATGTCACTCTCACTCGCTCAACTCCCTAGAGATTGGAAGGACGCTATAGTTAGTCCTATATTTGAGGACGGCCAGCGACAGATAGTATCTAACTACCGGCCTGTCAGTCTAACTAGCATAGTCGTTAAGTTACTCGAAAAGATAATTCGGTTTAGGTTGCTAACCCACATAGATTCAGACAATCTGTTAGCTCCTGAGCAACACGGATTTCGTAACAAGCGTTCTTGATTGACTAACTTGCTTATTGCGAGGGAGGATTGGACAGCAGCCCTAGATCACGGTCTGTCTGTCGACGTGATATTCATAGATTTTAGCAAAGCGTTTGACAAGGTTTGACAATTAGGTCTTATGCAGAAGCTCACGAGCTTCGGAATAATAGGTACTGTACAGGAGTGGATAAGCAACTTCTTATGTGACCGCAGACAGAGAGTAAGGGTCAATGAGACGCTATCCGATTGGAAGCCGGTCAAAAGTGGTGTACCCCAAGGCACCATCTTAGGCCCTCTGCTCTTTCTTCTCTACGTTAATGAGTTACCGCTGTTACTTAGGTCGTCGACATTATTGTTTGCGGACGATGTAAAAATCTGGAGAACGATAAAAAGTGCGGCTGATCATGTGGATCTTCAAGCTGACTTAGACGATTTAGTTAGATGGGCTCGAGAGTGGGGCTTAGAAATCAATGCTAGGAAGAGTGTACTAATGCACATCGGTCACGGTAATAGTTACCGTTACACTATTGAGGGTAAACCTCTTCCACGCGTTCAAGAGCATAAAGACTTAGGAGTAATATTAAGTCATGACTTAAAAACAACTGCGCATTGCAAAGCAGCCGCTGTCAAAGGTTTTCGTGCGTTATGGTCACATCGCCGAGCGTTCAAATCTTTTGACGAGGAAACGTTTCGAATTTTATATCCCACCTACGTACTGTATTCAAGCAGCTAGCCCATATCTGGTAAAGGATACTAACTCACTTGAGCGTGTCCAGCGTGTGGGAACGAAATTAGTGAAGGGTCTTTCTAGACTCCCTTACGATGAGCGTTTAAAACGTCTAAACCTTTTCCCCTTGTCGTATCGTAGGACACGAGGTGACTTTATACTGGCAATTCGTATCTTCAATTATGATTTGGGTGTTAATATGTCTTATCTGTTTGCTCCCTCCAGCACTAATAACTTACGAGGTCATAGCAAGAAGGTTCATAAACCACGATCTAATAAACTTAAAGTGGGAACCCGTTTTTCTCATCGAGTAGTCAATCATTGGAACGCCTTACCCGAACAAGTGGTATCAGCCCCATCAGTGAATACTTTCAAGGAAAAGCTGGACCTTCACTGGGAAGCAATGTGTCAGGATTAACACAGGTTCATCAACCTACTATACTTATTACTGAAGACTGAACAGTAATACGTTTTTATTGTAAATCGTTTCATAACAAGAAGTGGCAATGAACTGTTTGAAATGTAGTTTAGGGTCATCCATATACTTTTTTCTAACAAACATTTTTTTGTAGTGAACACAGACTGAAGTGACCTAATTCGTCACTTTTAATGAACGAAGAGCATCTCGTTACTAATAGCAATGTCCAGCGCTATGAATAAAACAGCAGCCCTTGTTACACCGAATTCAGCTGTGTAAGTTATAGTTTTAGTAATCATTTGAACAATTTCTTTTATCATAGGTGTAAAAGTTGGATTTTTCAACATGTGGATTGCTAGTTAAAATTCAAACCAGACACAGGAAGAAGTCAACGTTAGTTTTTCCTTATACACGTGAAAACTGATAACCCAGAAGTCTAGTTTAGCTGACCTATATAACTGATAGCTGTCGGTCGCTTTTAGTTTTAGGGGTAAGTTATTGTTTTCTAAGAAACAACCTATATATATCCCACTAATCATCCAAAAAACTGCAAAATCATAAATTTCTACTAGCTATTGGCACAACTGTGGTTAATCATATGACAGTATTTACTAGAATGTACTTAGATATACACAATTTAAAAAGCGACGCAAAGAAGGGCCTCAAGAATGCTGGCTATTGCCTCAGCAATGAGGATAGTGGGTTAGTTTGTCTCTGCTAACCCGGACACCCTGTTTTCCAGTCGTGATCCAACTTGTCTTTGAGAATGTACACCAATTACGCTGATGCTACTTAATCAAGTAGGACGTACTATTCGTCCATCACACTTTTGGAAAAACGGAATCCCACTACTAGTCAGTTTGATCACTCTACTAACCTTCTTGGAGTAGCCTTGAAGGTGCTTTGTCCAGGTTTAAGGTATGAATTTCGAATTTGCCATTGATGTTCTCCCAAACATTTAGTATAATTTTAAAGCAATGGATCAAGCAATCATAAATTGTCCGTTGGACTTTGTTCCCTACGTCATAGTATCAGTTCTTTCTTCTCTCGTAAGGGCCGAAATTCAACACGTATAAACCCCATATTTCAACTTATCAAATGAAATATTGATATGCTACGCGACACTGGACTATCGATAAGTAATACATCTTAAATAACCAGCTATATGACATTCAGCTGAGTGGTTCCACCTAAACAAAAGTACCAAGGTGTGGCTGTCTGCACACAATCCAATACTCCAAATTTGGGTCATACTGTACGTGTAGGCTAGCATGCTGAAGTCAAAAACAGTGGACTTTTTATTCATACTGACTAGATACATCTGCCCTCAACAATCCCCGACTCTTTTGAACAGCAGACAGGAAATACTCGCTACAATATTATGAACCGTTTTATATTTAGCACCATAAATCATGAAAGTGATAGAAATCCATAGACAACTTAGGAGTTGGACACGGTTTTACAAATGGTTAGCGCAGATAGTTCTAAACGACATGAAGATTGGCTATATATCACCTCCTGTATATATACTGCGGAAAAGAACTCACACGTAAATGCTGAACAGAAAGCTGGCCGACGCGCAAACCGATTTCGTAAGTATCAACAGGGAACTGTTGAGACTCAACAAGTCAACAGTACTGAGAGGAGTTTTGGAAGTGGTATTATGGATGTTAAGCGCAACATTTTCTGATAAAACCCTACTTTATTTACATTTCAGATTCGTATCGGTATTACCTGGTTGAGGATAAATACACCATGTCTATAATTGAAATAATAAAAGAACGAACATCCGGCTTGAGACTGTCAACTCGAAACGACAACGTGCGGGGATGTTTGATTAAGGAATACCATTTCAACTGCAGCGTACCAACATTCCTCAAAGAAATACACTTCACCAACTTTTACACTAAAAGCGCTTCTGCACACCTATGTTACCAAGACACGGTAATTCCCACCCATACATATAATACACGTTTGTTTTTTAGGCTTCTGCAGAACCCGTCTGGGTTAATCTCTTCAAAATTCAGATGATGAAAGACATTCACACTTCATTTGGTGCATGTGCTGAAGTTAGAATAACACTCCCATCAACTTTCGAAACAGTTAAATCACGGAAACGGTTATTCAAACTATGTATACAGTTACAACAACCCTCCTTAATGTGGAAAGAATATACAATAACAAATGTGCAATTCTTTGATGAGTATTTAGACAATTCTAACCAGACTACAACAGATTCCACTGAAGGTCGACACACACATCTAATCAATGAGACACAGAATGCTTTGACCACACTTTGCACACTAATAGAATTTAAACAAACGATACAAAGCCGTGAACTTAACGAAATAGATATCTTATCACTATCTGACGCACACTTTGAAATTACTTGAAGTTACAAGAAATTTACAGGAAGACCAATCACGTATTTAACACACCATTGAGACAAACCACCACATAACGGGAAGACATTTACGAACATGGAAGGCGTGCCCGGAGCTTATTGGGGATGAGGATGAAGAAAACAAAAAGCGATCATGGTATGCCAAACTAGTTCTCCCAAATGATAGTATCAACGACACTTGAGACAAAGTGGATAGGCAGTCTTACCACGTGTTTACTTTTACACCGTAAAATCTGATGGAAATGTCCCATTCCTCGCAGAAACTAACGATATAACTCAGTGACGCAGAAAGGACAATTGTTTGCAAAGTACGTGAGGTATAGACGCGATATATCTAAAAGAACTGATTGTAATGAGTTTTGACACTTAATAATACAATACTGAAAAGGACCTAGTTTCCGAATGCATGAAAATCTAAATTGTTTGTGACTGTAAATTAAATAATGCTGAGTACTCGTTATTGCAAATTATTGTAGTGTTCTGAAAAATACATTGTTATGTGGTCTTCGACCAGTACATACTTCTTTCTGTAGACAAAGATAAGTTAATGCTCGCTGCCGATGTTTATAAAAATATGAAGGGCTTCTCGACTTTTAAATGGTCCACTAAGTTCACTTAAGATGTAAATGGTCGGAAGACCAACAAATACAAAGATAATACTGCCAATCAATTGACATGACAATGGAAAATAATTCTTCCATATGAAAAACTTTTACCAGTAAGCAAAAAGAGTAGCATAGTTACAGAAATTTTCAAACAAGACAAATTTTTGTATACTCATATAATATATGCAGAAAAGTAATAACCGCGGATAGTACCTATACATTCTTTATTTACACAATCATATCATTCTACGAATCATTTCATTTAATTGTTCTTCTCGAAACCCTGTTAGAGAATCAACACGAGCGTGACAGCGCCGTGAACCTGACATCCAATCACGACTGGATGACATAAGTTTGAATGGACATAAAAAGCGCTGAACGGCCATGAAGTTTGAACCAATAGTTACAAGTTCGTGGATAATGTCCTCTATGCACAAAATCCCACAGTGACCTTTGAAAGACAAATAGAATAATGATTTCAAAGTGATAAATCTAGATGAGTTTATCCACAAGACTATCAATGTTTGTATGAAGTAACATGGAAAACTATTGATAGTTTTCGGAATATAAATATCTGCAGTGTAACTAAAATAATATATCACACTCTTATTAACTTATATGGACAAGTAGGCATGAAAAAAGACGGTATAAAATGCATCAGTCCATTGTGGCACTTCAAATTAACACAAAAAGGGATGCTAATGTCAAAAGAAAATGAGTCAAACGACAGATACCAAGGATGCCTTAATCTAGCGGTCACAATACGAGACCACAACTAAGATGTCTACCAGTCATAAATGAAGTAGAACCTGACGCACATATGCATCATTTTGAGTTGCTACACGACACATGTATAGTGGGATATCAGAATACTATTAGTAGTTACATTATTAGCGGTAGTAAAAAAGACTATGCATAAACGATGCGGCTTGAGAAAAGTTGGATTCATGGAATCAAACAAATTGCAGAATAAGTTGTTAATTTAGGACCGAAGGGAGAGTAAAGAATGAATGGATTTAAGCCGCATCGCTTAGAGCGTAAAACTAATGGTTATGAAAATCCCACGAAACACAAATAGATTGTCTGCACTTATTACTTATAAAAATTACACAGTCCGAATACCAATGACATCAAGGACTGATTCCACGAATTGACTTGACCAACTACAGCTTATTCACCAACCTAGTGCTATAACAGCCATTATCGCGTAACACAAATCCAAACGCCAAAATAGATGTAAATTCGCAACCTCATCGGCCGGCTTCTATGTGTACCCAGTATTTACTTACGCCTGTCACCCCTCATTTAGCGCAAACGGTCGACCACAATTCTCTTACCAACTCTGTCCTGGACTCACCTTTACAGTTACTTCCGAGTGCTATTCAGTCTTTTGATGACTGCCTCCAATTTCAGATGTGGGTTCTTTGTTTTGTCTCTTTTTCTTATACCTTCAGGATTCTAAGTTAAGGCTCGCCTCGTGACGCAGATGGATGATTTCCTCAATGTATGTCCTATCCACTTTGAGCATCCTTTCCAGATTTCCTCTTTAGAACGAAGCTGATTTGTTCTCTGCTATAGTAGGTTCTTGCTGATGGTATCCCGTCAACGGACATTGAGTATCTTGCGTGGACAACAGTTTATAAATACCTGTATTTTTTTATGATGGTTGTGACAGTTCTACACGTTTCGACTCCGTATAATAAAACTACCTTAACGTCAGTATTGAAAATCCTGAGTGATGTTTTTGTTTTAAATTCTTGGTGTTCTTCAGTTGTTGGTGTACAGCGCTTTGTTGGTTCGTGCCTTCACATTTGCATCAGTTCCTCCTTATTTATCGACGATGCTGCTCAGGTGTGTGAACGCTTCCACCGCTACTCTATCAAGTGTGATTTGGTTGGTGCCAGTTGTGTCGCATTTTGAGATCTCGCTTTTCTCTTGTGAACGTTGAGGCCTACTGCTGCACAGGCTGCTGCTACATTATCTGTCTTTACCTACATTCATTGCTGCGTATATGATAGAAAAAACTAGGTCATCTGCGAAGTCGAAATCTGCACCTATCTTCAACTTGAGCTCTACGTTTAACTTCGACACAGCCTACTTGGTGTAGTTGTCAAACTATTCGGAAAGATTATTCGGATGGGTGTCCCAAACTATGTGGGAGGAAATAATCTTTTAGCCAGGAAGGAACATGGTTTCGGGAAAGGCGTTTCATGGTCAGCAAATTCCATTACAAGAGAAGATTGGGCTGCAGCAAAAGGTATTAATATCCTAGTACATATAATTTTCATGGATTAGAGTAAAACTCTTGACAAGCTCTCTTACCTGGGTCTTAAATTCAAACTGGGGATGTTTGAAACCCATTATGAAATCATAGACTGTAAAAATGACTTACTCGATGGTAGGAGACAACGGTTACGTGCAAATGGGGCTCTATCAGTGTGGGAATCTGTGAAAAGTGGATGTCATCAAAATACGATCCTCGGTCCGACTTGTGTGAGGCCGAATTCGGAATATGGGATTCAAGCGATGAGTCTCTGTTCCAAGTACGAGGTGGATATGCTAGAACAAGTCCAACGACTAGATTAAAATGGTGAAAGGTCGCACTGTCCTGTCTTATGAAGACAGACTGAGACGCCTCCATGTATTTCCGTTATTTGCCGCAGGTTACGGGGTGATTTAATGCCGATTGGCAGTGGACTGAACGATGACCCCGGAATTAATGTTAAATCTTTTCCCTACATCGAGAACTAATCATCCGAGAGTACATTTCGAAATTCTTCAAGAACCGAGATCAAAACGTTTACGACTGGAAATCCGTTTCTCGCACAGTGTATCGAATTACTGGAATTCCCTGCCAGAGCACGTAATATCACTACCTTTTGTAGGTATTTCTAAAGCCATATTACATCTTCACAGTGCTACAAATTGAAAAGATTGATATCAGTCTACTGAGCTCCTAAACTTGTTACTAAAGACTGTGACAGCACTTGGAAGACCTCGTAGTGTATAAATGTAAGAAGACTAGTTCATTTCAAATCCCCAGTTGATCAAAACACTTAGTAAAAAACAATTTTGGTAACAAATTAACACTTAAGTTCACCAAAATTTCTCAAAGTCAGTCTAGACACACGGACTCGGGTAGTATTAAAATTTTGAGGTTATAATCAGAAACTTAGAAAGACACACGGTAGTTTAATTAAGTATTAGTACATTCAGAAGTTGATCGCAAAAAAAGTCATTACAACTGAAACCAGCACACAACCTACCTAGTTTCTCTTCAATTATTTTGTTGTCGATTGAATGTTTGTGTCTACCAAGCATAGTACGCCCACGCTTCATAACCATATCGCGTACCACTTGCAGGGACGGATAACCCCATACCACATAAGGTGAAACAATATTCAACAAACTAAGAGTAGCCTAAAAAATAATAAGACCATAACTGTTGAAACCTTTGTAATTTTAATAAAAACAGCTTGATTGCGTGTGTCAAGACGAAGTAATCGGAATACATCCTTACAAACATCCGCAAGTTGCTCTTCATCGTCCTTTAACCGAATGACAACACCCAGTCTTGGTTGATCAGATGTTGAAAGCGGAGATTTGCGTTTAGCAATCCGCTGCAAGCGTAACTCATCGTATGACCGTCTGAGACCAGTCTGTGGATTTGTGATTTCGCAAAGTTATCCTCACCTTTATAAAACGGATCGGTGGTTGGATAAGACTTCTGCGTTTTCGGGCACGTTTACGCAACTCCTCAGAACGCAGGCGCTGTTGTTTGATTATATCCCGGCTAACCCTTTTTCTTCTTTTAAGAAGTGTAACAGGAATTGTATTGAGTTTGACAGGCTTGTCCTCGTCCCTAAGGTCTAAACAACGGACGAATGTAAACTTACATGACTAGTACCGAAAGATCCAGAAAACGCGCCCACCTATTTATGTTTCAGTTACAGTTCGGAAACGACAGGAGGCTTGATGACCTATGTTAGTCCTGGCAATAGTGGTCTCTCAGTTGATCCAACTTTCTATTGAAAGCGTCGATGGATGGAGTCTCAATCACGTGCTGAGGTAATGAATTCCATTCATTGATGATTCAACGGGAAAGTCGATAGTCAATTGGCAAGTAATTTGTCCTGTGCTTGTGAACTTTTTCGGATTGTCCTCGTAAATTCTCTGCTTTGGAAGACAAGAAAAGTGAGGGCATATCAGGTGCAAATTTATCAATAAGCAATTTGAAAACTATAATCAAGTCGCCTCTAGTTCTTCGATATGACAACGAGAATAGGTTTAGCTTGGCCAGTCGAGCATCATACGGAAGCTTCGCTATCCCGGGAATCAGCTTAATTGCTGTTCTCTGAACCTTTTCCGAAAGTTTACTGTCTTTTTTAAGCAGGGGTTAGCCGCTTATATGCAGTACTGAAGTTTAGGACGTATGAACATTGTATACAAAGTCAAAAACATTTTAGCGTAGACATGACATTTGAACGATTATTGCACGTCAGATACTAGTTGAAATTTTATATCATCTTGATTTCTCTTCGTACTATATGTAACACGAGAAAAACAATTTTAATATGCCTATATATATTTTCATTTAAAAAGACAAAACAAAAAAACCATATTATAAAGATCTCTTTTATAAGCTATTACGTGTGCATGATTTTATTTCCTTTTTTCGCCCGCTTTGTGTTTTTACGCGCGTACGAGTGTATTTCAACATGCATTCACATATATTTTTCTTTTCTAGGACGGCTGGAAAAGACGAAAACGAACGACGAAGTTTGCGATGAACCGAAAGTTTCATTGTACTTTTTCTTTTTTTACTAAATTGTAATTCATGGTCCGCTATTATAAGGGAAGACGACCTAACAAGCTATCAGAAGAGTGTTTGCCAGCGACAAACTCGTTGGATTTAAACTTCTGGCTGGCCACGTCTTAGAATCATCACTACCCAATTAGGGGGCAATGATCTGTTGAGGTAAATAAATCGTCAAAATATATAGCTCTGTAAGTTTTAGACATTGGATGCTGACCAAATTAGTTTTAATGGACTCACCTAGCTGACAGCACTCGATCATGCATCCGCACCACACCACGAGTGGAAACATCGTGCTCAACAACCCTTGCAATCGCTAGCCAGATTAGATTATTATTAATGGCTTTATTCAATATTATGTTTTGGTACGATATAGAATTCTCAGCACAGGGTATTTCAACAAGTTATTTACTGAACAACGAACAAAAACACAGTAGCAAATACAAAAAGAAATAAAAAATGATTTAAAAAATATATATAAAAAAATTAAAAAAAGAACCAAAAAATAACTGTACAAACGTTTTTAAAATTAAAGACATGTTAAGAATGTAAGTTATTGACTAGGTAAATTCTAACAACCTGTTCGTCACAGAGTATATTTGCTAGGTAAGGTATTATAGAACTTTTATACTTTTTCTTGCGTGCATGGATTTTAATGTAATTACGTCTCGTTCTACCAGAAGATATACAAGGAGAAAGATAAGAGTGAAGGGGATGGCTAGTATCTGATAAAATGACACCTGCCAGGAGTTTGCATGATTTTGAATGTCTATCCACAACCATATTAATTATGACATCGAAAGATTCACCATACATCTTGCCAACTGCCTTCAGCACTCTCCGCAATACAGCAAAGTCTTTCCTCAAAAGCCCAGGAAAGAATAACGAAGAACAGTAAGGAATAATAGGTAATATGTGAGAATTGACAAACTGTAAGAGTAAATGACGTGTAATTCCAAGAGCATGCAATCTCTTTATGTAGTAGGTCAGACGGAAAACCTTCTTCGATAACGATAAAACGTGGGAACACCAAGACAGATCAGAGGAAAAGGTGACATCAAGATAATTGACCTTCGACACTGAGTTTATCAAATAGTCTCCGATGGTACAAGCACTATGGGATCTGAAAATAGTGCTTATATTCCGTTCATGTCTCATGCTAAAGTTAACAGCTTGACATTTAGATAGATTAAGTATGAGACCATTACCAACAGACTAACAATCAATACGAGACAAAAACTCATTCATTTCTATGGGATGTAAAGAGGAAGAGATAGGCATACATACAGTGAGATCATCCGCATACTTCACAAAAGTGTTTTCTGTGGAAGATGGCAGGTCATGCTGAAAAAAAGAGAATAGAAGAGGTAAAAGAACAGCTCCTTGTGGTACATCTTAATGCGACAGTAGAGACTCTGAACTCGTTCCTCCAAACACAGTGCTGGTTTCAGTTGTAATGACATTTTTTGCGAACAATCAAGGTTCAGCGTGAGCAGCTGATATTGTGACTTCGTATTTGCGTTTAGTCATTCGTTTTGTCGACACTGTTGAGTGAAAACTGTCCGGAAATATTACGCCATGGCCTCTGCTTTCTCCTGGTCGTCCTTTATGGTTTGAGATTCACGCCTTTACTTACTTACGTTTGGAATCCAATGATGGGTTCTTGTTCTGTAGTTTATGTACTAGAATAGTCTCTTCAACTCCAACTGCTACAACGTTCATTCTGTTTCGCGCTGATATGGGAATCTTCTTCTTAAACCATCAACCCATACGTTTTATAGTTCTCAGTAATCAGTTCCTCCTTAGCGTGCTGGACTCATTAAAACGTCCACCGCCTACTCGAAACCGAATGTCTGCTCTTCTGCTCCTAGCTGTTTGTCCACAGTAGCCTTCTTACTGTGTTTAGTAGCTCAGTGAATTAAAAAATCAACAAAGACTTAGTAGAACAAAATGCACAGCCAACGTGATAGTGGCTTTTACATACGCACCTGGTATGAGTCCAGTGCACATTTGTCGCAGCTGTTACATTGAATCCCAACATTAAACAGAAAACAGCATATAGGCCTACCACAACAACGTTTTACTCGCGCCATTGAAATCATCAGATAGGCTCATAGAGAGGACGACATAAAAAATCTTTGTAAGCGCGGAAAAGAGAACAAAAAACTAATTTACGGTGGGACTTTTTCAAAATATATAAAAGTCATAGACACTAAACACAATTATTAAGATTTCTGTGTGACTGTGAAAATCCAACTTAAGTAAATATGAAAGAAGCCTTCATACCTCAGGACACGATCAAAACTAAAGGACTTGCTCAAAAATTTTCATTTGGCACACGAAGACCATTTTCAGAAATACGCTTCTCGAAAATTAGGATTACCTTTCCGTAACGCAGACTCAGTGACAGAATAGGCAAAGTTTTGATATTTCTCCCACAAAATCTTCAAAGTTTGGAAAATTACGGTAGTGTTTTGTTTTTGCTTGAAGGTTACCTTTGCAATGGCCGAAGAAAGAAACCTGATACTGGGAAACTCACACAAATTGATTGGCTCCGGAATATACGTTCGTGATGACCTCAGCCTGGTTAACCATATTAAGAAACGAGCTGCAAAAATAGAAAAAAATCTGTTACAACAAAGAAACCTATCGGCAAGATGCCAGCAGTCAATACACAAGATCTGACATTACGGTCGAAAGCCGTGAACACGGTTTTCAAAGAAGCTAAAGCCCTTCTTTGTTCGATTATTTGGAATCTAGAGAAGTCGAAAGATAATGACTGCTAAAAGTCACGCATGCGATCTGTATTTAGTGGAATATGTAATCAGAAGTGTACTGCCAGAAGAGGTTTCAGGGGTACACAACATGAAGATAATACGACTCGGTAAATGGGTTAGGAGTGAGACCCGACCGAGAAGGATCTTGAAGTTTGTACCCGGGAATTTTGAGGAAAGAGACATAATAAGCTCGTGGTTCAAATATTGGTATCCGACCAGATTGGCTTCATGAGGATCGAATCAAGTGGAAGAATACTGTTACGGAATTAAGAACTCCAAAGCTTAATGGCGAAACGAACCTTACGATTAAGGGTTTTCGGGTAGTCAGGTCTTGGAAGCCAACCATAGATAGACTGTTCTCCCATCATTGCAGGTTACATCTGTATTAGAATTAAGAGTTCTAAGTCACAAGGGAGGAGGCATAATAATATACGTTAGGGATCACTTTCGTATACAGTTAATCATGTCGGAGGTGCATGTGAGGTAGCATGTTGCACAATTAAGTACAGAAACGGGTTAGTGACTATAGGAGGTATATACCATAGTCCGTGTTGTCTTTCTGATGACTTTATCTTTAGACAAATCTATTCTTGGCGTAAGGCAGAATGTTGTCTCATCATTACAGACTTCAACGCACCGCACATCAACTACATAGAGTTTACGGCTCCGGGTGAGGGTTTTAGGTAACGATCTTCTATCAGCCATTAATCAGTGTGCACTTGTACAATGTATCGCAAGACCGACACGTATTGACTTGGAACATGACCCGTCGTTGCTGGACCTTGTCCTCACAAACCACTATGAGGATGTCCTCAACATTCACCATCTTCCCCACTAGTGAATAGTGGTCACGATGTACTTTACTTTAAGTTTAGGTCACATGGTATACATGTTGTATCTGCTCCACCCTGTCCCAATATCTGGCGAGGCAATATTCCGGTAATCAGAGACTATGATATCTCGATTGACTGGTCAGTCGATGCGGATGGATCGATCGAAGACAAATGGAATAAGTCTAAGGCTACATTCTAGTTCGTAACGTCACCGTTTATCCCATCATCAACAGATAAGCTACCACATTGACCTCCGTGGATTATAAAGGAAACTCGGAAGCTGGTGAAGTGTAGAAAACGCTTCTGGGACTTATTGTTGTCAACAGGACGTGCATCATTTAAGTTTGAATATAAAGAAATCCGGAATATATGCAAAAATACCATAGCTAAATCCCGTACTATTTACAAAGGCAGTTGGTATATGACAGCCGTACTTGCCCCAAACGATTGTTCTCGTATGCTAAACGACGAACAAAACGTAGTGATGGTAGTCCCCCAATA